CCCCCCCCAACAATCTGGGTCCTCATTTTACCCACCTAGGAAAGACAGAAGGCCGAGTCAACCTTGAGCCTGGTGAGATTTGAACTGCCAAATTGCAGGCAGCTGGCAGTCAGCAGATGTAGCCTGCAGTACTGCACTCTCACCACTGTGCCACCCGTGGCTCACAAAGCTGGTTTCCTGCCAGTATTGTTGGGATTCCCTGCTGAACGTCCAGCTGTGCTGTGGAGGCCACCAGGGCACGCCAGGTGAGGCATCCTTGTCTCTTTCCCCAGGTTGGATGGCAGCATGGAGCCAGCTAATGAAATTCTAGAATCTGCCTCTCATGACAGACCATTGGTAGCACAGACCTACAGTGCCGCTGTGACCAGAGGTGCTGCTTATATGCCTTCTTCGCCCACAAGACATGGTAAGAGCTACGCAAAAACCTTCCGCTGTAGATTAAGAGGTTTGCAGGGATCCCCGACAGAGGGAAGGCCATCCGTACCACTTAATAGACCCCTTGGCTGAAGGGCCCGCCTTTTGGGGGTCACCTTGTCCGTCAACAGTAGCAGGGAAGCATCGATCGCATCACCGTTGCCATGGCAACACAATAGACAACAGGACTCCGGGGGTCCTCTTTTTACCGCTTGTCCATTTCTAGGTTGACGGTCATGGTTGGTGACTGAAGAGATAACATGTCCAGCCCCAACTCTGAGACACATCATTCACTGTCATTCACCTTGACCCTGGTTTTCCCCCTGGGTGTATCCTAATTCATATTCTCCCATGGGACACATCCATAGCCCAGAGTCATCAATCATGCTCTCCAGTTAGATTTTTTTACTCAGCAGAAACTTCAGTCACCTAGTTACTAGCTTTGAAAACATTTACGGAATGCAACTTTCAATTCCCAAGCTCCTGCACTTGCTTCCCCTCCTCCCTTTCCGTTGGCCGCTCTAAAAAGACCACAGAAACATTTCATGAGTTGACAAGAACGTTTTCCTTCTGAACGGGCGTGTCCCCTTTTTCCCGTCTCCCTTTCAGTCTACAACGAAGATCTGGGGGCGGTCGGCGGCGTCTGCCTGGAGGACGACATCGGCGCCCTGCGGCTCGACGACGACAGCGAACATCCTCCCATGATCCTTCGGACTGACTGAACTTCAACCTGTGAATTGCATTCCCCCCAAGCTGAGAAACGGCGGCCTGAGGCTTCCGGAGGACTCGTGTCGAGACGCCGCTACGGAGTCCGGCCTGAGCCAAGAGTGCGAACCTCGAAGGAAGACAAGGCTTCCCTCGGAGATCGTTTCAAAGCAACACACACACACACGCACGCACCCCATCCTAGCTTGTAGTGCCGGTTCCATGCCACCCGAGGTGGAAACGCACACCTAGATTTCACTTCAAATTGGCTTCCCGCTTCCTTTTCTTTTCTTTTTTTAAGCCGTCAGGAAATCGCCCCGTATATTTTTTTTTCGTTGTTGCCAAAAAAAAAAAAAACAACAACCCCCAAAACCCTGCTATTTATTCAGCACCTTTGAGCTTTTGCATGCCTCCTTGTGCCAAGTGAAAATGGGCAGGCTTGATTTCATTTTACGAACCGTTTTTGTTTTAATTTTAATTTCTAAAAGAAAAACAAAGTTTTGCGAACTTCACACTGGGCATTGGCGAGGGGGGAAAGGAAGAGCAGCAAGGATGAACTCGAGATGCTTTCGCTTCTACTTCTTCTTCTGCCTGGACAAGAAAATAATTCTTTAAAAAAAGAAAAAGAAAAAAGAAAATCCAAGTGGCTTTTTTCACGCACGGCTTAAGCAGGCGTGCCTGGAGAATTTGTGACACTACTTTTACTAAAGATCAAGTGTTTCCCTTCCCCTCTAAATCTCCCGCCCCCTTTCCTCTCGTTTCACGATCCATTTCCTCCACCTCTTTTCTCTGGTTTTGTATCTTTTTTTTTTTTTTTTGGCTTTCTCCCTGGCTCCTCAAGACCATTTTGGTAATTAAAACTCTTCCTGATTCTGCCTCGTGGTGGTATTTTTGTCTCTTCCAACGCGGCCTTGTTTTTCCAAGCATCTTCCACCATATAGACAAGGCTTTGATCGGCCGAGGAGAGAGAGAGAGAGAGAGAGAGAGAGAGAGAAGGGAAGAGCAAAGCTTTTATCTCCCTTTCAGAGCCATCTTTAGAAGCTGTGTGAAGCCAGGAATCCTGGCTTAGCAGACCGCTGTAGGTTGCATATCGATTAGGTTTGCACCGTATGTTGCAAACAACCAGGCAGTGAAGAGATCAGAATTTTGAGGGCAAGAGATGAAGTGGGGGTTTTTTTGCACACATTGACAATCCCTCTTTGTTTTGGGGGGGATCTTTGGGTGAGCTCCAGAACTGCTGGGATGTGGGTTCCTCTCTATCCCTTTTTCCCCCCGCCCCCATTTTTGAATCTAGATCTCTTCCCAGCCCTGTCCCGTGTTACTGGGATCCCAGTTTGAGCTGGCTTCTTTGGCTACAACGCTTGAGCTTGGCATAGAAATCCGTCCTGCTGTATTTGCTTGCTTGAAGAGTGAAGGAAACTGGCTGTGCTTGTTAACCAGCGTCATGGTTTGTTATGCCAAAATCCACCCCCACCGCCACCCGGGCTTCATACGATGTCATAACCTGGTTAGCATGTTGACTTTAACAAGTGTTAAGTTGTTAACCAGAAAGTATGTTAACGTTGGTTTTATCCAGGCTGTATAAATCTACCTGTCTCCCTTGAAATCCCTTCCCTGTCTGTAGCTTTTTTTAAAACTCTTTTCAGAAACTGTTCAAACCCTTAGAATCTATCCTGGGTTTGTTTGCTGCTGCTGGACAAACCCTTATTTATTTGTTTCTCCTTTTTTCAGAGCGGAACGAGCTCCTGTGGATATCAACCTGTCCCTTCCAGCTTCCTTCTCTAGTCAGGAGGTTTATCCCTCTATTTCTTATTTTGTCATGCTGTCCATCTTTACAGTTAGCTCTAGGAAATTAAAAGGGTGATGCCTGAACTTTGGGGTGTCTTCTGAAGGATGTCTTCGAAGAAAGAACTCGTTTTTGGCATGTCAGTTAAGGCCCACGTGTTGTGGTTCAAGATTTAAACGGAATCATGTTCCTGTATCCTATTTTTTGCTTGTTCGTCTCCTTGGCTGTAGTTCTTCCTCCTCCTCCTCCTCTTCTCGAGGTGTTACATGGCCTAACCTGTTGTTGTCATTTCTCACTTCCAACAGCTTGCACGAAGCTTGTCGTATCATGGGGAATTTTTTTTTAGAAAAACAACAACAATCCAATCTCGTTTGCAACTGCCAGGACTTGGATGAAAACGTGACCAAAATCGGAGGGGAAAAAACAACCTGCCTTTTCTTTATTGAGCTGTAATGTGCCTTGTTCCATTTTGTTTTGAACCTTTGAGATTTGTTTCTGTGTGCCAAGAAAAAAAATGTGGGAGGGGAAAAAAACCTTGCTTGGGTGTGAACATTTTGATTTATTTTTTTTTCATAGAACGTTAGCCATTTTGGGATGTCCCCCCCCCTTTTCCTTCCTTTGTATTAAATTATCACTGGGTCCTCCTCAATTTGTGGCTTTCTCTTCTGGGAACCAAAATAAATGAAAATATTTGCTGGAAGAAAGAAATACAGGAAAAGAAAAACTGGGTGGCTGGGATGTGTCTTTACAAGAAGGAAAAACAAACTCTTTTTTTTTTTCCTTGCTCCTCCTGCTATTATACCAATTTAGGCTTTTTTGCTTCTTTTGATTTTGTTGAGTTGGGTCAAAATGAGATCCTTCAAAAGTGCACTGGGAATTTCCACGATGGGGCTGAAATTCAGATTTCACGAGAGTCACAAATGGCCCAAGCTTTCCCGGAATGGAAAACTCAGTAATTCACGACATGACCATTAAATGTTAACCATTTTCTGGGGTTTTTTTTTTTTTTTTGTGCGTCTGGGTGTGCGTGCATTAAAACAGAATTTGTACACCCGACTTTAAATGCAGCTGTCGAAGGAATTTTGTTTTGCTGTAATGTAAGATTCTCTGATGTTCTGGGTGAAAACCATTGAGAAGAAGGGAAAAGGTCCAAGGAGGGTTTGGCACGAGAGACAGCAAAGCTGAAGTTTGAATGACCAAACAAAACAGCATAAATTAGCTTTAGCAGCTGTTTCAAAGGTAACTAATTCTCCCCTTAAAAAGAAGCTGAAGAAGCTCCTTGGATGAGATGGGAAATGTCTTCAAAGAAACAAGGATGTCCACTTGCCTCCTGAAAAAAAAAAAAAGCCCTTTTGGGGACAACCATGATTTGAATGACTAGAGAATCTCTCTAGACATAAAGACAAGAGATTTAAAAAAAAAACGGACGGAGGGAGAGAGAGGAAAGAGGATGGGTGGTTGCATAGATGGAGCTAGAGATGAAAAAAAGAAGATGGAAATGAGAGATGAGAGAAGGATGGATGGAATGAAAGATATAATAGGAAAAGATGGAGAGATAGATACATGGATAGATGCAAAAGCAGAAATTTTTGTCAGTGCCATGATTAGTCAATATTGTGCTGTCCCGCTCACACGCAACTGTGGCTTAGTGAGTTGATTAATATTCCCCCACAACTCCCTTCACCCCAAATCCAGAACTGTCCAAATTAAGTCCAGCCACAAGCGGACCAATGTTAGTCCACCAAGCCAGTGGCCAATTGAGTCCCCCCGGGCACTTGGAAGTCTTGTCTCCCAGTCAAACCCACCAGGCAAAATTAAATCCACAATACGAGAAGGTTGTAACTTTGAACCGTCACTAAATGAACTTGTACGCACGCCAAGGACTTACGTGTATGTTTGGAGCTGTCCGAGGTCCTGAAACTACCCACCAGGTAGCATACAAAGGAAACACAAAAGCAAACAGTAGGAAAAATAGGGAAGGAAAAAGAAGAGGGGGAAAAACGGGCACCGACTTCCAACTCCCTTTGGTAAAGCAGAATAAGGCCTTAGCCTCAAATCTCAACTTTCTTTTTTTTTACTTTTACATAATAGCTTAAAACTACCCAAACCGCTTCTGGATTTTGTGCTTGAGGCGGAGGGGAAAAGGAAACTTTGCTTTGGGGTTTTACTGATTAGATAAGATTCGTTGTCATAGAAATGGCTCGAGCGACTTAGATTAACTCTATTGTCACTTTAAATGTGCACGGATCAGCAAACATTAAAATTTGAAATTTCGTTGCGTCCAGCTCTCAAAGGGTCACGGCCTCCAATATACACTCTTATCATCATCTTTTAATGACCCCATAATCCCTTGGGTGGAGTCTGGGCAATTGAATGGAGCTGAGAGCGTTTCCTGGCCGGTTGCCCTTCCTGTCACCAATGCGGAGTTCTCAATATACACTATATAATATACATGACAAAATAAACAATTAGACAGACTCCGAGCAGCTTACCACAGCAGTTGTGATCAGTGGTGGGATTCAAAAAAAATTTACTACTGGTTCTGTGGACGTGGCTTGGTGGGCGTGGCAGGGGAAGGAGACTAAAATCTCCAGTCAGAGGTGGGATTTGCCAGTTCTCCGAACTACTCAAAATTTCCACTACCGGTTCTCCAGAACTGGTCAGAACCGGCTGAATCCCACCTCTGGTTGTGATCCCAGAAACACACACCCTTCCTACTTTAGGCCGTGGGTAGAAACGAAAGAGACAGTGGGAAGAAGTCACACTAAGTAAACCACGCTAAGCTGCAACATAACCATAACAAGGTGTCTGCTCTCTCTGTCTCTTTCTCTCTGTGCGTGTCTGTGTTTGTGCTGTCAGAAGAGCAATAAAACTAAATCAAATGGCTGGCTAAGCTTGAACCCAAGCGGATATATATCCATGGCAGCAAGTGTGACAAGCTGTTGAGAAGACAAAAGAGCTTCGTGCCAGAATAAAAATGCTACAGTGGCCACAGATAACAGCAGCTGAGAAACGAAAACATTGGAGTTGTATACTGTGGCATCCATCAGATAACAACACAAAAGGTCGGTGGGACGCAACCTGCCTTGGCAGATGTCCCTAACTGCTCCTCTTCCCAACTGCACCCAACCATACCCATATTTTAAAAGCCATTTTACTATGCAGACAATTTGGATCTCCTTTTGCCAAGACTCATCAGGGGAACTTAATCACCTGTAGATATTACTTAGACCAGATGTGTCCAACCTTTCAGCTTACCTGGGCCCTGCTGCAAATAGATTTTGTGTTTGTGTGTGTGTAGTCCTCAACTTATTACTATTTTAGTGACTGTTCAAAGTTACAATGGCCCTGAAAAAGGTGACTTGCAACCGTTTTTCGCACTTGCGACCATGGCAGCGTCCCCACAGTCACGTGAATAAAATTTGCATGCTAGGAAACCGACTCCTACTTATGACGTTGGTAGTATCCCGGGATCACGTCCCCTTTTGCAACCATCTGACCAGCGAAGTCAATGGGGAAACCAGATTCACTTAACCTTTATGTTCATCATTTCACAACTGCGGCGATTGCAGTTGAATCTGGCACGAAAAACGGGGCAAAACTCTCATTTAACCACATCAAGTTTGGGATCAATTGTGGTCGTAAGTCAAGGACTAACTGTAATATAGTCAAATATGCTGACAAAACTGCCATCACCAAGAAGCAGGGGTGGGATCCTACCGGTTCGGACCGGTTGTATAGAACCGGTTGTTAGGATTCTGCGCATTTCGGAGAACCAGCAAATCGTGCCCCTGGCTGGCCCCGCCCCTCTCTGCCCACCCAGTCAGTCCTTATTGCGCATGCGTGACATTGCGCATGCCCGACATCACTGACTGCATTCTCCCCCGCCCAGTCGCTCCTTAAGGTATTTTTTTCCCCTCCCAACGATCAGCTGTTCCGATGATCAGCTGTGCCAGAATTCCCCTCGCTGTCTGACTGCTTCATAGTTAGCAGGATGGGGAGAGTCTCTGAGAATGTTATGCGACTTCCTCAAACAGCGAGAGGCGAAGATGTTGTCCAGGGCTGGTAGCTGGAACCTGATGATATTCTGGGCAGTTTTAAAGATTCTCTGTAGAGTTTTTTTGTCCGCTTCAGAGCTGCTCCCATTCCATGCAAGAATGCCGTATGTCAGGACACTCTCAATGGTGCTGCATATTTATGAGCCTCCAATCATGTCGGCCATCCCAAAATTGCTACTGGAATGAGATTCCTTCAGCTAAATTAATTTACTTAAAAGCCAAAAACAAAAAAAACAAAAAAAGCAATGAGGTTAGCAACTGAAAAGAAAGCAAAGAGGAAGCTAGCCAATAAAGATTTGGCTTTGATGGATATTTTTGCCTCTGAAATGAGAGGCACCCGAGGGTAAATTTCTCTTCCCATCAGCCACGACCAACACAAACACGAAGGTTCCTTTGATGTATCCACCTAAGAAATAAAGGATGAATAATGTTTTAGTTTGTCTCTGCCTTTCATTGTCCATGCTTCCTCTGTGAATTCAACAAGATGTGCATGGAATGGCATTCTCTTCTCATGGTGTCCTGGATATCGCTGCGAGTTTGGTTGGGTCAAGAGAGGACAACTGACCCAAGGTCAGCCAATGAGGTCCACCATCAAGGGGATCTCCCTTTCTGGATCTCTCCCCTCTAGACCTAATACAGGGAACCCTCGGGTTATGACCACAATTGAGGGGGGGGAGGGAGGGGGGAGGGGGGGAGGGAAGGAAGGAAGGAAGGAAGGAAGGAAGGAAGCCATAGTGGTGCACTTTTTACAAAGCAGTATTGCAGGCTGACTCTGCCCACTGCCCAGAGTTTGATCCTGACTGACTCAAGGTTGACTCAGCCTTCCATCCTTTCGAGGTCAGTAAAATGAGGACTCAGGTTGTTAGGGACAATAGGCTGCCCAGAGAGTGCTATAAAGCACAATAAAGTAGTATATAAATCTGCTATTGCTTGGGAGGGAGGGAGGGAAGGAAGGAAGGAAGGAAGGAAGGAAGGAAGGAAGGAAGGAAGGA